CTTTAGTATTTTATTTGTTCCTGAGTAAATTGGTTTGGCTGAGATTAAAGGTATAGTTTTTTGCACAGCTAAAACTGTCAAGCAGACAGCTGATTATCAGAAGTGTGAGACGCTGGAGAATATACTCCGGTGTCCTGTTATATTTTAGAAAGCAAGGAGTTTATTAAACTTACCGAAACAATCTGCAAATTTCATTAAAAATTAATAAACTACCATCTTGTCTTTATTTTTAGTTAGCACAAACACTTCAAGCTGTAAGCTAATGATAGTTATATAAGACCAGATGCTGCTGGTGCAATAAGCTGTAGGCTGTACGTCCAATGGATGATGATCTGATTAGTCGACTAATCGCAAAAATAATCGGTGACTAGTCGACTATCAAAATAATCGTTTGTGGCAGCCCTATTTCAAACCTAATTAAACTTGCCATTATGAAGCCACGGGGACAAAGCACACCTTCAAATGTTTGTTTTATGAACAATATAAAAACTGTGTATGAGTTTGCTTCATTTTGGACATTTACGATTTGTTATTTACCCCCAACCCACACAAACTGCAGTATACTACACTAGTATACAAATCTACAGCCCTGGCAGCCCAGCCGGACAACAATGTTGCAGGTAGAGAGAGCAGTACTCACGGGGGACGTTAATGGAGCCGGGGATGAAGCCGTATTCTCGGAGCTCCCAGGGCTCTCGCACATCTATAACTACCGCTTTCCGCCCAACCAGGAGCTCCTTCAGCTGCTCATAACTCACGACTGTGCTCGCTGGCGTTGAACTGAATGTGCGGAACAGCAACTCTGCGTTTAAAAACAAGACAGACAATATACTTAATGCAGTATATGAGCTCCTTCAAAACATGACAGTGAGTCACTCATGTTAAACCTCACTTTTGTAACCGGGGCGAGTGCTGACACTGCTGGACACAGAGCCTTGTCCTCTCGGGACGCAAGCTTCAAACTGGACGGTATTATTCCATAAAAGCCGCGGGACAACACCGGCAAGTCTCCAACAACTTCTCAAGGCCATGTGTGATTATCAAAGCCAGATACTGCACTCTAAATTATCACTGCTCTTCAACACAAACCCTCACTTAAGCGTATCTGCGTGGGACAACTAAAAAAAAGTCACAATGCCGACAATTATCTGCGCTTGCGCAGACGTACGGATATCCTAATGGGCCAAAATTCTTTCCCCACAAATGCCTTAGTGATAGTTTCAAACAAGTAATAACTAACTATTTATCAACACAAATTAGCATCATGTCCCCTAATTAGATCAAACAAGTGCATCAAGTAAAAACAAAAAACATTATTTATGTTGCATTCGCCGCCATGGGAAACTGGGAAACGCATAAAGATGGGAAACAAGCTTTTATTTACCTCTAGTAAAAAAGAGATTTTCCCACTCAACTTGAATGCAGCATTGGGCCAACCTGAGCTGCCGTAGTGCGTCACACATAACCAGTGCTGCCTGTAAATGCTAACGAAAGCTTGACACATGTTTTAAAAGTCAAGGGTGGAAACAAAAAGATATTGAGATAACTGTTGACGGTATTGCGCGTTTTTTCTTTGAATAGCCATAATGTCTGCGTGTAATTTTGGATAAAACACACCAGTTCAGTTTTTATCCTACCAAGCTAATGTAGCTGGCCTTTTTTTGCAACCCAGGAAGAGCTGACATCTCAGTGTTGGCTTCATATTAGCTGACAAAGTCAACATAGGAGCTAACTTTAAGAGGTGAGTTAATACATATTCCATTTTCGCTAAATCTAGTATGAAAAAGATAAACTAATTTTTAAAATTTCCGTAATAAATGGGTTAGGCGCCTCTTATTCTCACCCAAACCGGGCTGCCGGGGTTGTTAAGGCCTCTTAATCATGGTGTTGTCCATTAATAGAGTTATCTGTCGTAAAAACTCTGATTTTCTCCTACTGCCTTTATTTAGCAGTGGCATATCATGTAGCCGTAGGTATTGTGACCGTTCGCTTCCAGATTTCTTGCAGTTTAGAAAACGTTTAGGTCAGTAGCATGTTAGGCGAAGGGTGTAAAAATTATTTCAAAAGGAGTCCACCAGGAAAATCAGCTTAAACCTACAAGCAGTGGAAAGTTTTTGATTGGTTAAATCAGTCACCTGATTTAATCGCCCCGAACACACCAGCTTGAGAGTAGCGTCAAACACACCAACTTATAACAGCCAAACCACATATTGCATTTACCGTTTAATTATTTAAATAATCTTCAGCAGAGGCTATTCTGGTATGGCCTCTAAAAAAAAAAAAAAAAGAATTTTTGTTGTTGTTGTTGTTTTTAGTGCTGTTGTCTTGAAAGTGGATTTCATTGAGTCGGAGCCCAGCAAGGAGGAGTTGGCTTGGGCTTTTGAATGAAGGAGAGAAAAAAACAACTGCTTTAATGAAAAGTAGTTTACTGAATATATATAAAATATGAGAAAGCAAGAGTGTAATTGTGCAAACATAATTAGTTATTCTATCCTAATATTTTTTTTCACTATTGTTGGAAGCAAAGTAGTGCTTGACGATTCAATGTATGCATAGCTATTTGAATGTAAACACATGCTGTCATAAAGTTTTGATTTGGCACATTTCTGTAGGACTGTGCTGTAGTACAATGACAACACAATAAATGTGTGTGAGTGTGTGCATTTAACAATGCCTGATCTAAACTGTAGGGTTTTTTTTTTTTTTTTTTTTTGCTATTTTGAAAGTACCTCATTCTGTTGTGAAGAAAATAATAATAGCAGTTGTGTAGTACCTGGATAAACAAAATTATGTGTGGGTGTCCTAAATGTGTAAAACTAAACCAGTGTTGTCCCTTCTTGCTTTCAGAGCACCAGATGCGGCTGAAGGACCCCTTCTCCTTGAAAGCCGCCGACATGACTAAGCGGACTAATAAACCAAGAAAACCTCGAGATGAGGAATCATCAGATGAAGTCAGCGGTAAGTCACCGTAACAGTACATGGCACCGGACTGTTACGGTTAAGACTATGAATTTTGACTTGGTAGAGTCCTATAGACTATTCTTGAGTATTTTTTGTCAATGTTGAGAAGTCTGTGAGGTTTCATTCATTATTCTTATGGGATCAGTGCAATTCACCTTCAATTAAAAGGATCCTTGCTTACAAGACACCTTGTCTGTTAACAGGACTGACTTGCCAGCATGTGAGTAGAGCAGTGGACCTGAACTCAGTAAAGAAATCAGTCCTCTCGAGTGTGTGGTCGGTATGCTCAGAGTGCCTAAAGGAAAGGACAATGATTGATGGCGAGCCAGCAGCCTCTCAGGACATTCTGGTGTGTCTAAAGTGTGGTTTTCAGGTAAGTTTTTTTTTTAAAATGATAAATAAAGCAAAATGTGATGCAGCAGAGTTTAAACTAAATTGAAATAAACAACAGAGTAAGAACGTCATTATCATATTCAAGAGTCTTTAATTCTTATTTGTGTATGAACTTGACTGCTTCTTTACTTTCATGTGTACACTCGCTGGACACTTTATTAAATGTGCCTTAATAGTGCCGGGTTGGACTGCATTTTGCCTCTAGAACTGCCATAATTCTCCACAGTATCGGTTCAACAAGGTGCTGGAAACATTACTTGGAAACTTTAGTCGTTGTTGATTTGATAGTATCATACAGTTGCTGCTTGCATGTCCAAAATGCTAATTTTACATTCTGCCCTGCTCTGTTGCATCGAGATCTGGTAACTGTGGAGGCCATTTGAATACAATGAACTCATTGTCATGCTCAACAAACCAATTTTTAAAAAATTATTTATTTACTTTTATGTTGTTGTTCAATTTTGGTGAGCCATGTAAATTGTGGCATCATTTTTCTGCAGACACAGTCTTCTGCTGCTGTAACGCAGCTGCTTCTAGGTTTGATGTGTTCTATGTTCAGAGATGCTCTTCTGCATTCCTCTGTTGTAACAAGTGGTTATTTGAGTTACTGTTGCCTTGGCTTTGTGGGGAAAATCATAGATCAGCAGTTTCTAAAATATTCAGCCCTTCTACCACCAACAGCCAAGCTATGCCCAAAGTCACTTATATCATCATTCTGATGCTCAGTTATTGCCCCTCCCCTTGAGGTTGAAGGGATTTTTGAGACTTAAAATGTGGTTTTAGTTTCAGGGTTACAATTAGGTCATGGTTAGGTTTGGGCTTGGGGTTAGGCATTCGGGTTTGTTTGTTAGGGTACGTGGCTAGTGAAGAAAATGTCCATAATGAAGTGGTTAGGCCTGTTGGAACTTTCAAGAAAAGAGGAAGTCTAAACATGACCCTGAATAAAGATTTTCACCCTACTGTGCTCTTGAAGATTTGTTGCACCTTAAATGTTGTGAGCCCAGAGTGTATTTTATGGTTGCCAACAAAGATTTCTGTTTTTACAGGGCTGTAACCAGTCAGGGATCCAGCATGTTGTGAAGCATCAACAGGCTTTCCACCCAGAGTCACACTGCATCACCATCAGTTTGAGCACATGGAAGGCCTGGTGAGAAACCCAGGAAGTTAATTGTGAACTGTCATGAAAAGAAGCAAAGGCTGCACACAATGGTGCCCTGTTTGTCACCTTGCGATGGCATGTGTCAGAATGCTGCCAGCATGTGAGCTCAAATAGAAAACAACAGGCACCTGCAGTCTTTTTGATCCTGGCTACCACAATTCTAAGACCAGTTTGTTTATTTGTAAATTATTTTACATCATTTTAGGCTCATAAATAATAAAATAAAATTTGTTTTCCACCATTATAATTAGGAATGGGAATCGAGAACCAGCTCCCAGTAGTCCAATCCATTGGAACCATTAGTCTGCCTGCTTATCGATCCTGCTTATCAGATCTTGAGCTCTTGCTGCAATCAGCTGATTTCAGTTTGTGTGTCAGGGGAGGAAAAAGTGTCACAGTTTACAGCATGGATATGGACATTACTTTTATTTTTATTGCATAAAAGGATGAGAGCATGATAATGAAGTGGAGACTGCTCCAAGACAGAAACAACTGCATTATATTGTTAACACAACTTTGGCTCTTTACAAGCACTTTCACCGACACTGTGCTAAGCTAGATGGGATGTTAAAGCTGAGTAAATGCTGACACCAGAACAGCACCGTGATAAAGTAAGCAGTTATTCGCGGTGAAGCCGCTGCTTAAATTCAACAGGTAACAGAGCCTGAGCGGTCTGGCTGCAGCCTCCGTGTCTACCTGTTCATGTTTCTACAGTAAAATCACTGTGACGATCAGTTTAAAGTCTCTTTTCTGGTTTTCATCTTTGATTTGTGTTCATACATCATTATCTTATCTTATCTTATCAATACTAAGAGAAAGATCACGTGTGTTCTTATTAGGATAGGGATTTGTGCTGGTGTGTGGGGCTGTAGCCTGTAGGTTTATGTAGTTAAATGGTAATTATGAGACGTTGCGTTTCAGATCATTTTACAGAGTAACATGAAAGTAACGTAATGAGTAGTTTAACAAATGCCTTTCGCCTGGGTGTAATTAAGTAGTAATTACACCCAGGCGTACCTTAAGAAAGGTGTTCTGTGTAATATATGTAATATATTTTTGAGTAATGACCCCAACACTGATTAATTTTTATCAATTCCCATCCCTAATCATGATTTCTAAACTGCTTTCCACTCTAGCCAAGCAATTCGGATGTTAAATACTGTCTTATTAGTTTCTAAAGTAAAATGAACCCGGTCTTATTAACCTCTCTCTTTGTGACAGGTGTTTCGAATGCAGTGAAGAGCTCTCGACTCATTGCAACAAGAAGGCCTTGGCTCAGAGCCTGGACTTTTTACAAAAGCACTCTGTCAAGGCAACATCAGGTAAGGTGTTTTCTGGCCATCCACTGTTGTCAAATTAAGCCTCAGTTATACAAAACGTACATGCTCACTGCAGTTTCAGCAGGGCCAAATGACAGTGTAGCTCAAGATTTATCATTCCTTTAAACTGGTGATCCTTTCTTTAGTTGAATACATCTCATGTTACATAATTTGCTTAATATTCTGGTCAGTCTATGTTTTGTGTCTATGAGTAGAAGGCAAAAGCACAATAACAGTATATGAGCCAGTTAGCGGCTGCGTTGTGGCCAGATCCACAAATAAGACGGGCTCCTATCAGAAAAGTT